CTGTCCCAGAAGGTTAAACTATGAGCCTCTTAAAATACACCCAGGACAGCGGGTAAGCACTTGGCTCTGGGGTCCAAGGCTGGGGATCCGTCTTCCTCTCTGCTCAGCATATGGCTGTACAGCAGCAGGAAGCATCAATCCAGATGAGAACATTTCTAATGATTACTTTTGAAATGTAAAGAAATATAAAGATCAAATTAAGACATAAAGACATAACACAGTGGAATTCAATTTGACATTCCTCTAGGCATGAGGATATTTTGCCATGGTAAGGATTTGTACTTAAACAATTCTTTCCTCTTTAAGGAACTTTAAAAGTTCAGCAGCTTGTGACTTGGCCTTGCAAACTCCCATGTGTTGACAAGCTGTTTTGTCTGCGCTACCAGTCACCTGGGGTCCACGCCTGCTTGTCAGTCTGCCTGGGGTGGTCTGCTGTGATGGCAGCTCAGGTCTATGATATTCAGATTTTATGTAGCTGGCATTCTAATCTACAGCAACAGTGGCATCGCAACTGACTGCTTCCAATATGCAGATACCAACGCAACTAAAATACATAAATTCCTGATGAAATGCTCCGGCTTTAAAGTGCTACAGCACAGTTTATGCAATGGACTAGGATTAAAAATGAAGAAAAGAAAGAACACAGAGCAAACAGGAACAGTAAAGGAGTAATTAATCCCACCAAAACCAATGTTTCTCGTCAGGCAAGAAATGGCTGGTCACCAGAAATAATGTGCTAAGTTGCTTCAGGGAAGCACATCTCTAGTAAGGAAAAAACAACCAACCCTATAAAAAACACCCACCCTGAGAAAGAAAAAAAAGCAACCAACAAAAGAACAGTAGCCTATGGTTAAAAATACGTATTTTCTTCTTCTACTTTCCAAGCCCTTTCAAAGACAAGCCCCAGACATGTAAACCAGAGCATGACATATTTGAAGTTCTGTCCTTGAAACCTTTTTTTGACGTCTTCCTCACAGTTAGGAGTCACATCAAGTAATGGGTCTGCAATGAATTACAGCACTCCAGATCTGCAACTAGTAGTTGCGTTTGGGGGCCCCCCCATATGTTTCAGCTTCCTTTGGGGCTACTTTCAGCCACTGGTAATGTCTGGAGGTTTTGCCAGTAGGGTTAAGCATCCATCTAAGCAGCTGTGTTAGATAGCATTTCCTTTAAAAAATAATAAAAATGAATTCTGCAGAACAGCTCTACCAGAAAGTTCTCCAGACATGTCTGAAGCTGCCCTGCTCACTGCAGGAACCTCGGTTGTTCCAAAAATGTGGGTTCCTCAGAGGCCAAGCAAAACTGCATGGCTTGCACAGCGAACCTCCGAAGCTCTTAGAAACTCCTACTTCCAAGCCATAATTGTTGCTGTATTTTTGCCTAGGAACAGAATCCGAAATTACCATTTTCTCTCTAGTTCTAAAAAAGCAACTTGGACCACGGCATGATTGACTCAGCTCTACCCCGCACGTATTTCACTGCTAATAACTGTTAGTCCACTGGAAGACCAGAAGATGCATCCCCCGCCTAAACGGTGGAGAGAATGGACACACAGCTACAGCCTCATCCCAGGATCCAAGAGTCCTGCAGCACCAGCCAGTGCTGACAGGATGACTAATGCCCCTGATGTCCCCTCTCATCTCTAAAGCGAATTTACGCCTCTAAAATAGCTCATTTTGCTAAAGAGCCCATTTAAAGACTGCTGTGCTTCACAGCTACCAAAGCTCCACGTCAGCCTTGCTTAGAGGACGTTAGAAGAAAATTTGATCCACAACACCGACAACTAAAGATAATGCAAAGTCCTGACTCCAGTAAAACCACACCAACCCGAGGTGGATTCCTCACTCGCACACCGAACCAGGAGAGCAGCCTCAGCTTTCCTGCTTTCAGCTGGAGAGTGAATTACTCAGAACAGAATGTTTTCAGAGCACTTTCTTGTCACTCCCCTGTCAAAAGCAGAGCTTGGGAACAGCAGGGCACAATGTAAAGAACATTGAATTGAGCTTCATTTTCTGGATTAGAGTTGTCTTTTGTTGTGAATGTTTCTGAATTTTTTCAAAAAGCAGGCAGTTGTTATGGCAATTAGCACGTGGCAGGTTTAAAATGATTTTTTAAATTTTATTTCAGACTAGGCTACAAAAGGATAGGAAAAAAGGACAAGAATCCTTAAAGCAAATTATTTTGTTACAACAAAACAGAAGAATAAACAAACCAAGCAACCTTTACTGTATAATTTCTAACCTCAAGAGTGGAAAAGCATGCCTGGGTCTTACTCATTACAACTAGCGGCTCCTACTACTACCGGCAAAAAATGATTTTCAGTTATACCCGCAAGAATAATTGCAAGGCCTTTGAATGCAGCTGAAAGGCTACAGGGATCATTTAGAATAATTCTCTTTTTCAATGAGTTCCTTACACGAGTCTTGAGGCATCTTAACACACCAGTTACAAGCAATTTCCCCTCTGCAGTGGTACTTTGAGCAGATGTTTTCAGAAAGGCTGGGATTCCGTCTCCCAACCATTTTTAACCATACCTTGGAAGAAAATAAAGCTACTTACCATAAAAAAAAAATCCCAAGAGAGAGTTAGGTAGGGAGGCTAAATCTTGACTTCCAGTGCATTTGCTTATCCATAGGGCTGTCCTTCCTTCCTTCCTTCCCTCCTCCATTCAGAATCTGGAAATATCAGCCTGCCAGGATCTCGTTGATTTACTGGAAACAAGGAAGCACACCCAGTCACACACTGCCACCTGCACAGAGGGTTTTACCGACAGAAGGTGCAGCTAATTGAGCTACCTGCCCTCCAAAACGACCTGAAGCAAAATGCAAGATGAGCAAAAGGTAACCGGGCTGCCTGGGCTGCAGTTCTGTCAGTGCTGTGCGGTGAGCAGCGTGCGGTATTGCGGACACGTGCGGTGCCGCTGCTGCAGTTGAGGCTCAAAGAATTCAAGGCCCCCGTGAGGCTTTTCTGCTTCACAAAGCAGGAGGCTGCGCTGCAGCACAGGATACGCTCCGTGCGTGAAGCCACGCATTTCAGGAGGGTCATCAACGTCAGAGCAAAGACTAAAAATACAGGAAAATATGTCTGTAATATACAAGGAGGCTGATCATTCAATATAGGAATTTTTCTTCTCGTGATCAAACTCTGTAGATCACTCTACTGGAGAAAATGAAGGCTTGGGGTGAATCTTCTACGATATTTAAAAGATCAGCTCTGGTACTTAAATAAAAGGTTTTCTTAAAACAAAAAGAACTAACCAAAAACCACCACACCAAAAAAATCCCATGACCTCCTATGTAGAGATGCCTTTATATTTTGTGTTTAAAGACACAAGAGTAAAGTACTTCTTCTGCTATATTCCACCCATCATCACCTGACTGTGCTTTTTAATTGTCAAAAATATCTTTATTTCTCCAGGTACATGGAGTAACTTTAAAGACCTATTAATTCAAAACAGCACTCTTGAAGTTAGATAAAGGTTAAAACAATGAAAAAAGGTGCTTTCATGTCTTAAATGTTTAAATTTAGCTTAAATAAGGCAATTTACCTTGGAAGTTGAAAGTCAAATAATTTTGAGTATGGCAAGCAGGCAACAACTTCATTAAAGCCTTTCTAAAAGAGAGAACTCAGATTTGCTACAGAGTGAGCTACAGTCTTTCCTTTCTAAAAGTGGATCCAATATCCCCAAAGGAATTTTTTAGTCATGGTCTGCCAACTCCTGTCACTTCCAGACTGGAACACAGCCCTTTGTTTTGTAAATGTATTTGATTACTGCTTTTTGCTTTTGACAAGTGCTTTCATGTATTAAAGAAGTCATTGTTACTTTTTCCAGTGGTAATTGAGGGATACACTAAGTTCTCCCTTGGAAAGCTTCATTAACCTTTGCCCTCTATATTCTTCCCCTTTTCCTTTTCTTAAGAAGATTCTAATTTTTATTACCTGTTATAACAGATTATTAACGTTCAATTCTCGGAATGGTGACTCATGTCACCAGGTACTTTTTTAAGGTTTAAGATTACCCTACCCACCTCTTCTATCAGTCTTGATCCTTAAATTCCGGGACTCATCTGCTTCTAGAAATGGAGCATCACATTCTGAATGCAATGAATGCAAAAAAAAAAAATATACAAAAAGTCTATACTAAACTTCTAAAAAGTCAAGACCTGTAACTTGTGTGACTCTATTGCATGTGCAAAAGGCTAAGGCAATGGAGTTCATATTCAGTGACTTGGTTCATCTTATTCTTTGAAGTATCAAACTAACCTGGGGACACCAAGATAACTTTCCACCCAAGTAAACAATGTCTAAAACTAGAAAATACACTGTGCTTACAGATGCAGCTCAGTCAAGAAAGAGGCCACTAAGTTTCCCTCATGTTGACTACATGAACACAAGAATACTTTAATAGAGTTCAAGTATTTTCCAAGAGTCTCAGCTCTTGACACAGATGTGCTACTGTTTGAAAATTAGTCTCAACTGCCCTGTAACTACTTCAAACCAAGCATCTACAAATGTTGGTTATTCTGTGAACATCAGCAGCACAGACCTCACTGGGGACGAGGAAAGGAAGAGCACCATTACGCACAAACTGAGCTGTAGTCTCTCAACCCTTGGAGCTCTATGGGGGCTCCTGCTCAGTTCTTTAAAGAGCCAAGGGCAGCAAGCTATGGGTTTCCAAGTCACTAGACCCAGTCCAAAGGTCAGCTCTAAACCAACTTTGTACGCCTTTCGCTGTAAGTCTGGGGACCACATGTTTGTTAATATCTCCAGAGTTCCATCCAGACAGCTGGGAAGCCATAGGCATCTAAAAGTTGTAAACTAATTAATTAAAGCAATCTTAAAATCAGATATGAAGTATTAAATCACTGAAATTAACCAAAGGCCTCAAGACACATTAAGATTTTTCGTAATAAAAATATTTTGGTACTGCATTTGTATTTAATACTGCCATTACTCTAAAAGGTGTGGGAAGACAGATGACATGAAATCTACACCAAAGGTAGTTGAAAAGTCCATTCATAAAACTTTTATTCCACTTACATCAACTTAATACACATGTTCTGAACAGTTATGCTTGGATTGTTCATGAAAATTTCATAAGACATTAAACAAAGCTAGCCATCATCTCAAGTTATTTCCCTGTTAACTATTTTTACAGCACATGCATGTTAGGCAAGTATCAAAAAAAAAAAAATCACAAAAGCAAAAAACCTAAAAAAGTTAAATACATGGGTTTTTGTTTTACTGCTGTGCTCGATATACAGTGTCATTATGGATATCAAGCAATTCATTTTTTACTGCATCTTTACTTGTACATTTGTTCTTAGGTTGCTTAAACCATTTAAATACAAATAAAATGTGTAGCAAAAATAATGAAAGCAACAGCAGGTAACTTTACAAATAATGGAATGTGAACCGTTTCTCTGTCCTTCTCTAGAGAAAGCTGACTGGGTTATCAAACTGTCTTAAGGAACACTTCAGCTGCAATCAAAGATGTACATTTGATCGGTGTATTCCACAGATTTCACATGTTGACTTGACATGCAATACCTATGGGACATCAGTTTCTTCACAGCCATGTGTGCTCCAGCTTGAACACTCACGCTAACTACACCTGTGGCTGCAACCGATTATCCCTTTTTTTTTTCCATCGTGACAGACCAATATGCAAGCAGTCATCTGTGCTTGACATAGAAAGCTGTTTTAACACTGGCCTTGTGGGAAGCCACAATGTACCAAAAGTACTATGCCAAACATTTAAAACTTGTATAAAAATTTCACAACCCTATATTGGCCACCTCAGATGAAAACAGATAAATTCCCCAAATGTTAACTGGCTCTATTCCCCTAATATTAAACAAAACCACATGGGAAATATAGAAATCCAAATAGAAGTAACATAAACCTGTCAAATCGTAAACAAAAACTATTTGTGGGACAGCATGGATGACAAATGGTCTACTGTGTAAATTTCAGAATGAGGCAGACGGAAGTTGGAAGGCCGGTTAATTCTCCCCTCCTTCTCCTGCTTCGGCTTCATCTCCTTGGGTATCCGATGTCCACAACTGTTTGAGAAAGAAAGAAGAGTGAAATACCTAGGATGTTAACATTCATGACTAGTAATTAATAAGGAACTATTAGAAAGAAAGCCTACTTCTTAAATAGTAATTTTGTAAGAGGTCCTACTAAGCACCATGGAAGAAAACACTTTAACATGAATCTGTTTCTTAACTATGACAAAATTGAAATCTAGAGCCAGGTGACCCAAACCTACGCTGAAATTCACGAGGAAGTTCATGAACAGTTAAAACCAAAACAAGGCTCACTAAAATACGACAACAAGCAGGCAAGAATCAGACCTACAGGACAGACACATGAGAATTGGCAATGAACAATACTGGGCCTCCTGTGGATTTGTAAAATCTCCTCAACCAAGTTTTACGCATCTTTCTGAAGGAAGAGATGCAGTAAAGGACTCTCTCCACATCCAACATTATAGTGAATGCTATCTTTCTTCAGAGCAAGCATCTGAGTTTTTTTTTAAAACAACCCCAAAAAGCTCTACCCTTGACTCTAACTCAGTCAGTCATGCCCCAATTCAGCAACGTTTGGCACACAGAGCTTCGAAACTTGGGAGGAAGGACGAAGAGGGAAGAAAAAACAGGCTAAACATGCACTATGAACAAAAACTTATTTTATGCTCCATAAAATCATGCTAAGGAGCCATATATCAAGATTAACTACCAACTAAGGAAACTAAGCATCATTTCCAGAGCAATACCCAAGACAAAGGAATTATTTTGTAAACCAAGTGTTTTATCATCCTGGCTGCTTCCAAACTTAATAACCCAGCGCGATTTGTAATCTCTCACTTTACAGAGTTATGGCAGCATTAACTGAATCCTTCACGCTCTACAGTGTAAGGTGGTCAAATCTTAGAACAGCTAAAACCCTCACTAGCTACAGCATTATACTTACAAGATGCCTTTTTAAAAAAAAAAAAAAAATATATATATTAAAAACATTCCATCATCAGAAACACTTTATCCTTTCCAGGAGCACAAGCCAACAGAGAAACTTGTGCAAGACCAGTTGCCTTGTTCTTGCCCTGAACATAATACTTGATATCTGCGCTAAACGTTCCTTGCTAAAGGCGTTAAGTGACAAGTTATTTCACCAGAGCCAACAGCACACTAATCTGTTTCTAGCTGCTGCACTACATTCTATACTGCATTATTATAATATGACATTAAGTCTCCAGTTCAGTGCTTCTCTTACAAGGAACAGTTAGTAAGAATAGTTTTATCACAATTTTATTAGAGGCTTCTATCCTAAATCCTGACCTCTACAATATCTACAGATATATACGTATCTTTACTGATTAAATAAAAAGGACCTGACTGCTGCGAATGGAGGAACACCAAACGAGAGCATAATTTAACAAATTTGCTGGGGAAAAACCCACATTTTTAGGGAGAAGGGTGGTTTTTTTCCTAATTAAAGAAAGCAAAACAATTCCATAACACAGCAAAGAAGGAATTACCTAGCAATTCCAGTAAAACAGATTTTGACTTGATATATCAAACAACCCTCTGAGCACTTCTCTGCCCTCAGTGTCTGCTGACAATGAACAGACTCTTCCTCAGCCACACAAAAACCAACATAAAAAGAATCAGTAACTGAGGAAATAGCTCCTGCTCGTAATTGACGAACATACAAGATGACTGTCAAAAATCTACCTCACAGATTGAAACAGACTTGCATAACTAGCAAACCAGACCTTTTTTACATTTAAGAAATTCATTGCAGTCTTTGTCAGTCACACAAACACCAAAGTTATTTTCTACCTCAAGAAGTTGTGCAAAAAAATGGAACCGATGCACTTGTACACGTCACTCTAAGCGTTTAAGGCAAGATACATCATTCATTCAGGACCATGCAATCCCGCAGCTGCCTACAGCTTTCTGCCTTATAATGGAAAGTTCACATCAGTTATCAGGCCTCCTACTGTAATTCACACACTATGGTAGCTCAGTCCAGCTTTTGCTCTCATACAAAACAATTGGCTTTCCAACTGCTCTGACAAGCTTTACATTATTCTTACTGGGAAGCCAGCACTTAAAGTCAGCTTCCATCCTCTATTTCAATACCACGCATTGAGAGGACAGCTCTTGAGCAATCTCACTCAAGGGGACGGCACACACAGACATGGAGAGTGGTGCCAACCCTGTGTCTGACTCCATTACAGAGGTTGAGAAATCTCTTCCATTTGTTTTGTAAAGCAACAGCTGGAACAATCACAAGTTTTCTTCGGTACTGTTAAATTGCCAGTCTAGTGGAAAAGGTTCCAAGGAACAGGGAAATAAAGTGTTAGGAACAAAAGCAGAAAACACGGCAACTCCAATTTTATGCAAGTGTACAACTTCCAGTTAAATTAAACAAAGGCCAGCTATTTTGTAAAGGTCACTGACACCAGATGCACAGAATGTGAAGAAGGGACCACATCTGGTGATGAGAGATGCTTCTTTTTTTCAGTTCTTGCTTGCAGCTCTTCCCTGCATGAAGACTGGGGAGTCAACTATGCTATTAATTCCACTATTGCATGTTTGCTTACACTTACCGTTTCATTTGCTTTAGATGTTTATCTTCACCAGTTTTAAAGTTCAAAGTCAGTTAAAAAAACCAAACACACAAGATGAAGATTTTGATTACTCTGACAAAGCAACACAATCTTGATCCCTAACTTACACCACAGGCAGCTATGAGTGCGAGAAAAAGGAATTAAGACTGTTGCTTTATGACTGCCATAGAAATAGCCTGGCTAGCACCGATTCCAATTTCAGCTTTACTAAAATTAAAACCAAAACCCCCCCCCATCAAACAACTGGTCCTTAAATAGACTTGCTAGCTTTGTTTGCAGTTTTTCTGTAGGATCTACTCCTTGCACAGCGAATCACACAGAATAAGCTGCGTGAAATTTGACATAACTTTTGAAGAGGCAAAATATGACTGTTCTCTCCAATGCCGCTGAACAAAAAGGTAACATCCCAGTCCAAAGTGTATCATGTAAACACACTAAAATCCTTGAAAAAAAATTAAAAAAAGAGAAAAATTTGGTCAATTTGTCATCTGTCCGAAACCCATGTTAATTTGCATGCAGGTAACAAAAAAAAAAAAAAAGACAAGACAGACCAGGCAGGAGAAAAAAAGATGCAGCTCAGAAACATGATGTACTGTAAACTCATCTGAAAGACATGGCTCTGCAGCTAAGAATGGACAAGACATCTCCGAGTGCCACAAAGCCCAATCCCGTTACCAACCAACAACAGACAAACTTTAAGGATACTCACTGTCAAGTTGTCTCTCAGTAACTGCATTATTAGCGTGCTGTCTTTGTATGACTCTTCACTTAATGTATCAAGTTCAGCAATTGCTTCATCAAAAGCCTGGTGTTATAAAAACAAACAACTCCATTGGCCATGCGACAAAAGGTTATGCAAATAATTTAAATGGAATTTCCCCCTGCCTTAAGACTTACCGTTTTTGCAAGGGAACAGGCTTTCTCCGGGGAATTGAGAATCTCATAATAAAACACGGAGAAGTTCAGAGCCAGGCCTAATCTGATAGGATGTGTTGGCTGCATCTCCTTTTTACTGATTTCAAAAGCTTCTTGATATGCTTGTTGTGATTGCTCCACTATCCCTTTGGGCAAAAAACAAAAGGTACACAAAAACCACAAGTAAGTAAATCACATACTGTACTCTGACATACCATCAGGACTGGGTTCATGCTTGCATGAACTAAGTATGTTAAGAGCAAATGTCAGTGAATGAGCGCTTGACCTAACAAGCTGCTATTTTATGAAGACTTTACTAAATTGCATTTTAAAATTATTTTTAAAAAGGAAGTTGTTATTGACCAAATCAGAGGTTTGAGTCTCTCCCTGTGACCACTTGTATTTACGAACATTTATAACAGTTTTGTAACATTTAAGGAATAATAAACCCCACCAACTACATGAAAAGGTAAAAAAATGAAGTTTGAACTACACACAGATTTGATACAGTACCGCAATTTCAAATATCTTAAATACTGCAAAGCATTTACAAGCCTGCATTTTAGTCACAGAGAATGCTGATGACCTTGGCCTATCATGCTAAACCCTTTCAGGAAGTCATCTACGAATTTCCATTCAAATTGCCTGGCAAAGCTGACATGGCATACCTCAACCCAAATTAAATATGTATTTTTAAGCACTTCCAAGAGAGTTCCATTCCCAATGCAGATATGGAAAGCATTTTTACATGACTTACGAAGTTCTAGCATCTGTAAAATTTGAAGGAAGGTAAAAAATTAAGAACTGGGCTCTCGTTTTGAGAGATCATTTTTTTGCCATTCTCTTAATTGGTTCAACTGTACAAGTTAGAAACACTTGGAAGAGAAAAGCAACTATATTGTGTATAATGAGATTGAAAAGCTCAGCAGTCTCCGTTCTCATCGATGACACTTGAATTTATGAGCTGGCGGAGCCTGCACAAGTCAGAGATCACAGCCCACCACAGCCCACAAGCTGGACTATGCCCTTGGTGAGCGCAGGAGGCGAGAGCCGCGCTAGACACCGAGCACAAAGGGAGGACTGTTCCTCCGCTCTCCGAGACTGTTAATAGCATCTGAGAAAAAGGTGGGCAGGAAGTCATGCAATTCAGATGCAAAAGAACTCCAATCCTGGCATTTCTGGATCAAACCAGAAACGCATCCAGCATGATCTCTGCAAAAGTGCCAGTTGTGTGTATTTAAAAAAAATAAAGGAATTTTAGTCTAAGGACTCAAAAGTTCATCAGTATTGATACTAATATTCAGGATGTCTATGCAATCTCTATTTGTTCATCTTTATGTATTAAAAAAATTAAAGCATCATATTGTCTTCTTCAACATAGATGAGGGAGGACACTATCTGCAATTATTCAATGCTTTGTCCTCTCTGTGCTCATCCCTAATAATGGCATGCTTCAGAAAAAACAGGTAACTGCCTCAATACTGTGAAAGTGATCAAAATTTTGTACATTACAGTTGAGAAACCAGGTTTACTTTAAGTTAGATTTAGAAGTGGTAAAAAGTGTCTTACTTTTCTCACAGTAAAACACTTAGAAAGTGACACTGCTTATGAAGAGCAAACCAAACAGCAAAAAAAACTAACTTCAAGGAATGAATGTGAGCATTTTATCTTTAAGCAATTTTTATTTTAACATCAATAACTTTTAAAAAGCCCATTTTTTTTAATCCTTATTTGAAAAAAATACAGTAATCCGAGCAGCAATTTGGGGAACTTTGTGCAAAATGTGTTCTGTTAATTTTAAATCAGTCACTCAGTAAAAAAAGGTTCAAGATTTCTAACCTTGAATTCTTTAGAACACATTGTACAGCTCAAAAGTTCAAGGCTAAAACAGTAGGGTGAGGTACCCTGCTTGACATTCCTGTCCGCTAGACTGCCGTAAGAAAACCTCAGTCGATAAAATAAACAATCTGGTTTACAAAGATAAAAACACAATTCCTAGAGTTGGGAGTTTTATATCATTCTGCAAAAAAAGAAAAAAAAAGCTGAAAGAATACTGTCTAACTAAAGGGCCATTAATTCCTAAACAATAATTATCAGCTGCTCTTCTTCAAGGTCATGGACAGCACATACAGGAAAAGCCTGTGAGATGAAACACTTGGTGGAGGGAAACAGTCTTAAGTTTAGAAGCCAGAGCAACTATGAGCTAGATGGGCTTTCATAAAAGTTTTCTTCACCTGGAGACAAACTAAAAGCCGCTCGGCCAGGAGACTGAGTTAAATAAAAACAAACTTCAAAACCACTTAAAAGAAAGATTTTTCATGGTCTAATTTTAGAGTCTGCAACTTAATCCTCAACAGAAAAAAGAAACTCTGGGACTCAAAATATTGTACCTTCTATGCACATGAATAGAGATTACTAAAAGGAAAATATAATTACTCTCTGTTCAGTAACAGATCTAAAGCACTGGTTACACAAGCAGACTGGGTCAGTTTGCATGCAGGAAGCACCTGAAGTCAAATCAAGCACTGTTATACAAAGTCTTAGTATCTTTATGCAACTTCCTAGTACCCAGCACGCCAGGGAAACTGGGCTGCCCTGTACAACATAGATGTAACACACCTGCCACAAGGCTAAAGGCAACACATCGATTCCCTTGACACCATTCCAAGTCTGTTTCACCTCTGTACCAAACTCAATCTAGTTTCTGTCAAGTCGCACAGACATCTTCCTGCATCACATAAGGAGAGCTTGCCAGCTTGAGGGCAGCACAAGGCCACCAGGGCACCATGCGTTCAACCGGCGAGTCCTTCAGGAGGGCAGAGGGCTCCCGAGCATCAGCCGCACAGCTGAGCAGGTCTCCCATAACTCCCGAGGGTCTCAAGCCCGCGCATCTGGATCTCCCGCGCGCTCCCAGGCAGCCGTGTTTCTGCAGGGTGAGCACAGGCTCACAGCCCAGGGTAAGCAGAAGTTACCAGATTGGGCTCCTGTGCCGAAGCACGATGCTGCTCAGGGCACGCTGCCAGCAGCCCTGCACTGGCTCCAGCGAACGGCTCAGTGCTGTTTGCAGTGAGTTGTAGCTAAACGTAACAGATTGTTCTGAACTGAAGGTGACTGTGCATGGAGGCAGCATGTTGGTAGGGTGTCTCCAACTACAGCACTTAAGCCACCTAAATATATTGTTTCTTGTATTAACTTTTCTAACTAAACTTGGGTGAAGGCAACTTAACCTGCAATTATCACAAGCTGCTTACATGAAGATAGAAGAAACCTGAGGAAATAAAAACCATTTAGATATTAAACTACTATGGTATGGAAGAAATTTTCCGTAACACTAAGGCCAGTTTTACTAATGCTTTTTTTCTCCAGATGGTTCCTGACCTCTTTGCTCACTGAACCTATGTCAACTTTTTGTATTCTGTAGAAATACAGGAGAAATAGTGGAAAAAAAAGACTTCAAAAAGCTACAAGACTTTGTCCTCCTACAAAGAGGTAAAAAACCAATACTCTGCCAGGCAGAAGATGCATAATCCTGTACTTCAGTGATAAACCAGATACAAGCAAGTGTAAGTTGGAGTCAATTTCAAGATTTTGTGATTGAACTTCTGTTCCCTGCTTCAAACAGCAGAAGTACGAGGCAAAACTCCCATAACTCATATGAAAGCCAACTACCTGTGATTTTTTTTCAGAAAACAGGAAGCCTATTACTGAAGAAATTTACATCCAAATAGAAATTATCCTAAAGTTAGTAATGTCACCTCCTGAACGCATGCAATCTATTTTGACAATATTTAGCCACGAGCTGACATACCTTTCTTGTCATCTCCAGCAGCAACCTCAGCCAAGTAACGGTAGTAGTCGCCTTTCATTTTCAAATAGAAAACTTTACTTTCTGCTTGCGAAGCATTAGGGATCAAGAACTTTTCCAACAGAGACTAAAAGAGAAACAAAGAACATATTGTTTACAGCACGCTGAACCAACAGTTCAATTACATTACAATCTATTTCAAAGTCATCACAGCTTTACTTTTTGCCTATTTTCTTCACATCTTACAGAGCATGTTCAGCTTCGGAGAACACGTTCTGGGTCACAATTCTAGGTACAAAAAGGAATGCTGCAGGCTGTGACTCGATGGGGAGAAGAAAGATCTGTTAACTTAGCAGATGAATTTTGTATGACCAAAGGAAGGGTTTCTGCAAGCTGTTCTACAGTGACAAAAATAAGGTAATCCAAAGAGTCTGGGCAGATGGTATAAAACTGAAGAAAGTCTGCAGGCACGAAAGGATAAGAAGAAGGTTTGAAGTATCGGCTGTCAAATCAGAGACCCAAGGATTTTACATACACAGGCAATAAACGAGCCTTGTTAATCTAGTTCCCATTAACTGGAATGCTGCACTGGGATTGCCAGCAAGATGAACCAGGATTCTTGCATTTCCAGACAGCTGACAATCTGACAGCTCTGCAGCACTGAAAAGGATCCTCTACTTTGCTTTAAGTACTGCCCTAACAGGTGTTCCCTACATCTTCCAAATCAAAGGCAGCTCTTTGGAGTCATTTCACCAAATCATCCTTGGGGGCTGCCAGTTAAGACCAGGTTTTTCCAGATTATTCTAACTGCTTATTAGATTAATATAGCAAGTTCCCAGCTGAGGCAGTCATGTAATTTAGCAAGAGTTCTATTATGATGAAAAAAGGAAAAAAGAAATATCACCAGCTCCAACACACTTAGTCAAATTAAGGTACAAACTTGTCAAACTTCTTGATATTAAGTGCTTCAAGTCAGACTTTGAAAGAAAAGCCAGTCATTTAGAAGCCAGAAGTGCTCCTGAATAGTCAAAATTACATCATCTGTTACATATACTTTGCCAAGGCTATGTAGCAAACAATATTTAAGACATTTTAGTAATAATTTTTGGGGTGTCTTTTCTCCCTTGTAAATTAGATGACCAACATTTCAGTTTTCACTTTTATTTCCAATGACACAACAGAAATGGACAATCCAGTTCAGTTCCAACCCACAGAATGATGGCTGCTGTACAGTACTTTCCTTTAGATAGCACCCTGCAGATTAAGTGAGTAGCTTACTCCTGGGATAGGCGTACCCTGGATACGGCAGGCTCTAACCACTCTTATTACAACACAGGCACCCACAGTATGTGCTCTGATCAACAGGCCAGTTGACACAGAACTATGGAAAACTGTAATTCATAGAAAGAACAAGAAGAGTAAACAAGTTTGGTTGGTTGATTATTTTTTTCCCCAAAGTACTACTAATTCATTTATGTAAATCACGAGTATTTAGCCTGAGAGACTCAATCTTGTGTGAAACCCCTCAGAATGAAATGCCCCGTTATGCCAGCCTCTCTCTCATTTCTATCTCAGCAGAGAGGGTAGTGAAGAAGCCTAGCTGACAGAAATAAACATTTATTGGTTTATTAGTATTTATCCAAACACCTTATAATATTATATTTTCAGTACTGTGAGGGTTGCTGTGTAGCTTCATTTTATAACTGCACAGAAAGACATCGAAAAATACCATGTGTCCCTGTTTCTCATCTGAATGACAGCAGAGACAATCCTTTGGCAACAAAGGGAATGCAACACCAGCAAGTCGGCAGCAGAATTATTCGTATGGAGCCAGTGAAAAGGGCTGCTGAGCTGCCTTCCGGAGGGCACACCGGTACGAGAGGAGAAGGGTTCAGAGGCACCTCTGCCCCAGTGCAGCTAGAACGAAGCAAAAGTCCATGAGGTATATGGGTCATGTGCTTCAGCCTGCTCTAACTCCTTACACGCTCTCTGTTCTCACTGTCAGAGAACTTCCAGATTCACAGCTATGACATTTTCCATGAGCTCCGAGAAACTGACTTCAATGACAACTGAAGGTTACCAGCTACCGAGAAAAAGGCTTCTGATTAGCTTTTCTCTGTAGGAATGCAATTAAGTCAGGTGTGTCTGTCTGCACCTACCCTCCTGGCACAATGGGGAGTTGCCTTCCTTATGTAACCTCCATTTGGTCCAAAGTGTTTTCAGTGATTCTAGACAGAAATTGTTCATCATCCATATAGAAGGCTGGCTGAGTAAAATACAGCTCTGCTCACTCCCATAGCAGCAACCAAACTTCCCTTAGGTCACGAATCAGGTAAAGCTGTTTGCAAAGAGCTAACTGGATGGGTAAATTGCACCAGCAGACAGGGAAGAGGAAAGACTACCAACTGAGAGAGTCTCCTTAACCAGACAGATACTAGCAGGGCAACAGCAGCGTGCACAGTGTGACAAGTTTGTATTGTAAAAGTTTTAGAACTACATCAAATTTAGAAGTCAAAAATCCTTTTGAACAGCTATTCAAAGAACAGAGTCTATGCAAAGAGGCTCTGACTCCAAGACTGCCCTGGTATTTTGCTTATATCTGGATGAAAGACTCTTATTCTGTACAACCAACATGTAGGACTGGTACACCACATATCTTTAGGAGAATTTTATTTATGCCAAATACTTCATAAATAGCAACAATAAGACCTGAAAGAAGATTAACATTTAAAAGCAAGGACATAAAGCTACTGAAAGGAGATATCTCCCTTATTATTTATCGAGTACTGTATATTCAGTTTCTCCTGTTTGTACCAGTCTTTATTTCAGGACACATTTTCTGGCATAAGTGAACATCAAATATTCCTTTAAAGTTAGCATGAAGATTCAGAGTACACTGATTTATCCAAGAGAGCAGCTGTGAAAGCTGCAGTCTGCACGGAGGTTGCATGGCTACAGAAAGTCACAGAGATGAAACCAATAAAACTATGGGCTTTTTAGAGTTCAGTTTTGGAAGATAAGATAAAATGTTAGGCATAATGAAAAGCATAACCCATCTAACACTTGACTATCTGCTAACACGTCTGCTTATGGGGATCTTTTTTTCAAAAAAAAAAAAAAAAGTTTAACTGCAAGGCTGCTCTAGAGGATACATTTTCCTCACAAGGAGGAATATCTTGTTCAAGACCTCTTGATGGCTTCCGTTTGTCCAAAGCAGAAGAAATGGGAACAAGAACTCTTTTGATAGTGCCACCAATATACTCTCTACCCTCTCTCCTTTACCAGCTGATATGACAGTGTTTATCAGTACAGAGCTGATCACCACTGGGGCCACTCAAGTGTGAACAGATAGTCCAGAACTGGACCAACAAATCAATCTGTAATCACCAAGTTTGTTGGATCACTGCAATGCATCCAACACTGGAACAACTGAAGTCCATATAGCAAGGGTACAGGGTAGCTACATGGTACGTAGCCAAGCCCGCATGTACATTCATGATATTCCTGTTACCGTGCAAAATTGCCATCCATTTTTGATATATATACTAATATGCATTAACTCCATGAGCAGTTACAGTGCCTCAATCAGTCTGCTAGAAACAGCTTTTTAAATATTAAAACCAAAACACTGGTCTCTAAGCCCTAGACCCCACAACTACTGAGTCGTAACTGTCAGAGCTTCTGACAGCAAGAATCTAACTCCTGTGAAACAAACCGCAGCACTGTAGTTAATCAGGTAGATGGAGCAGCATCTTAGAGCACTTTTTAGCCAAAACCTGTTAACAGCTTGTACGAGTGCTTCTAATACTTCTCATAGCAAAGACATACCAGATTCTTTCCAGAAAGACTTAATGGAAAATTATTACTTTTTTTTTTCTTTTAAAAAAAAAATAAATAAAAAAAGAGGCAAACATGCATGCACTAAATTTCAGTATCACCTCTTCCCAGCATGCTGACTGATCAGGCTTCAACACCTCAATCTGCAACCATGATCACAACTAATGTAACATCTTTCTGATACTCTGGACTGGGAGAGACTGCACATTCAAATTGGGAGATGCCAGCTATGCTTAACACAGGTAAGGAATTTCATAAATTTGGTATGTTCTCCCCAGCACTAGAGAAAAGCCTCCTTCTCCAAAGATGTAACAGAGGCTCATATACACATCTTTATTCTACTGGTGAACTTCAATCCTGACTTATTTTAAACACTAAACTGGAGAGAGATTCAGTGTCTTCATTCTTACACACGTTCTTTTGCCAGAGCAGGGCACAGTTAACACATGACAACACCAAGCACAACGTGTTTGGAGCCCACTTTGATGAAGGGCCATATGAACATGTTCCTGTGGTTCTGCAAGATAAAGTCACAGAATCACAGAATGTTAGGGGTTGGAAGGGACCTCTGAAGATCATCTAGTCCAACCTTCATCCCAGCACACCTAACCACTACACCATAGCCTCAAGTGCTAGATCGACTTTTTTTTTAAACACCTCCAGGGTTGGTGACTCCACCACCTCCCTGGGCAGCCTGTTCCAGTGCCTCACCACTCGCTCAGTAAAGAACTTCCCCCGAATATCCAATCTAAACTTACCCTGACGCAACTTGAGGCCATTTCCCCTTGTCCTGTCATTAGTAATTAGAGAGAAGAGACCAGCACCAGCCTCACTACAGCCTCCTTTTAGGTAGTTGTAGAGGGCAATAAGGTCTCCTCTCAGCCTCCTCTTCTCCAGACTAAACAAACCCAGTTCCCTCAGCCGCTCTCCATAGGGCATGTTATCATGAGAGTTATCAGGCTCAGTTATGAGTGTGAAGAAGCAGAACAAGTAGTAATTCTGCGTAACAAAAAAACCTAACACCTAACCATCTACAGAAATTCCACCTGCCTGCTTCTTACTGCACGAAAACACACTTCAGTTTGTCAAGTTGTTGCAAGACCTTCAGCTGAAGACAGGAAGCCCATAAAAACTCGAATAGTCTTTTTTGATACTTGAAGCCTGAAACTACCCTTCTTTCAAAATCATTTGCTTACTTCTTTGATAAATGACTTGCGTGGGCCAGAAGACAATTCCAAAAAATCATTGTGAGAGCATTAAAAGAAATGCCTCCATTTTGCCTTGTTGCTT